GGCAGGATGTCAGTTCTTTCCATCTTGATGTATAACTACAATCTCAGATAAAATCCCATGAAATTATTCTGTGGTTTGTACAGCTTATATCTAGAATGTCCGTCAATGGTGTGTGTTGGAGGCTTGGTCTTCAGGTTGTGGCATTAGTAAGATCGAGTACAGCTTTAGGAGGTGGAGCCTACCAGAAGGATTTAAGTGCCCTGGAGGGACAGTGTATGACTTCACCCTATACTCACATTCTTTGCTTCCCAGCTGCCAAGTGGGAAGCAGCTCCCTCTTCATGTGTTATGGTTTAAATCTAAATTTCCACCCAAATTCCCATGTGGGTGGAAGGTGATTGGATCATAAAAGTGCTATACTCATAAGTGAATTCATCCACTGATGAGTCTGTTAGGTAAATGTGTTATTAGGAGATGGGGTCTTGTTGGAGGTAGGTCTCTGGCAGCATGACTGGAAGGGTATATTCTTACTCCTGGATCCTCCCTTCTCTCTCTGCTTCCTGGTTACCATGATAGGAGCAGCTTTTTATCTGCCAGGCCCCTCTGCCATGTTGTTTCATCCTTGCAGCTAGCCAACTAGGGACTGAAACTACGGGCAAAAATGAACCTCTCTTTCTTTAAGTGGTAGGTGTCAGGTATTCTGTCTCAGCAACAGGAAAGGGGCTAAGACACCATGCACTCTTGCCATGATGTACTGGTCAACACAGGCCCAAAAACAATGAATACAATCAACTAAGAACTAAAACACCCCAAGCTATAACCCAAAATAAATCTTATACATTTATAAATCTTCCATTTTTAAAGTTGATTATCTCAGATATTTTGTTACCATAACAGAAAAGACACACAGCACATATTGACATTATTCTAAACTGTGTATGGAAAGGAAAAAGACTCCGATTGTCCAACATCGTATCAAATGAGAATAACAGAGTTCAGTGACTGACACACTCAAATTTCAAGTCCTACTACAGAGCTACAGTGAGCAAAACAGTGTGGTTGCTGAAAGAATGGGACAATCAAGCAATGAAACCTAATGGAGTCTAGAACAGAACCTCAAAATAGAGTCCTTTTCTGGCTAAGCTGCAAGTTTTTCAAATCTTCAGCTGTTATTTGCTCCCAATTCTCACTACAAATTGGGTCAAAATCAGCCAGCGATACCCATACCACTGCAAGACTCAGGGGTGTAGGGGCTGACTTGAAACTGGCTGTACCAGATTAATTCATCCCCTGCTTGTAAATTCAGCCACACACAAAGTCTTAGAACATGGGCAAAATTGAAACAAGTTCTTTCCCAGAAGTGAACATGAACAGTTTTTAATTCAGTTCCCAAGAGAGTCCCATTCTCACCTGAAACCCATGACCACCGTCTTTACTGATCACCTTCCCTTCAGGATTCTGGTCTTTGGAACTCAAATGAGAATCACCCATACAGCTGTGTTTACAGCTTGTGAGGCTTCCTCAAGTCCGATTTTTCAAACTCCTACTACAAGTCAATTCCAAATGCTTCAAAGATGCTATTTTTCTGGTACTAATTTTCTGAATTAGTCACCTTCCCATTGCTGGGACAAAATGCCTGACATATACAACTTAAAGGAAGAATGTTTTATTTGGTTTCATGGTTTCATAGTTTGCTGTCCGTAGTTAATTGGCTCTAAGGCATGAAGATCATGGTGGAAAGGTATGGCAGAGGAAAGGTGCTCACCTCATGGTATCCAGGAGAGAGAGAGACAGAGAAAGAGAGAGAGAGGGGAGAGAGAGAGAGAGAGAGAGAGAGAGAGAGAGAGAGAGAGAACCGGCAACAGAATAGACTTCCAAAAGCATGTGTCGAATGACTTCATCCAAGTGGGTTTCATCAATTAATTATGCATTCATTCAGCTGTAAACTCACTGGTGGGTTGGTAGGTTAACCCACTGGTAAGGTCAGCACCCTTATGATCCAATCACCCCTCTAGGCTCCCACCTCAGAATATTGCTGCATTTGGGATCTAGATGTCAATACATGAGTCTGTGGGGGCACATTTTATGTCTAAATCACATAAATGGGAAAGAAGGCACTGGACTCTGAGTTAGAAGAACAAAGGAGAAGTAGTAGACACTTTACCCAAGTAAAAGAAATCAATGAAGGCATTCAATTCCAACCCATGCACCAACTGAGAAGTTCCCCCACAATCTGCTGACAGGTAAAAATCTAAATCAGGCTTGTGAATGTGGTCACAGAGTTTACATGGGGACCCCAGAAGTTCACAGGCATGCACACGGTAATGGACACAACAAACACTCAGCTAATACTCAGAAGGGAGGTGTTATTGGGGTATGAGAAAAGCATTTTCTTTGCATTGGTCACTTCTTACTTGCTTGAATTTTCAAATATATATTTGTTTTTATTTTTGCAGAGAGAGGCAGAGATTATTAGACATTCTAGAACAAAAAAGTGGGGAAAATTGGAAAGAGGAGTTAGAGGTGATCTTATCCAACTTCATAACTGTGCTGAGGAGTAATGATTAGCTGGGGTCTGTGGCCTGTGCTGGCAGAGTACTGATTCTGGGTACAGTGGGCTTTACTGTTACCCACACCGTCTGCCTCACATCAACATGGCCAGAATGAAGGACAAGGAGGGGCGGCTATGGGCCAGGACATCCCACTTGAACCCCGCCCCAGGGTGACCAGTCTAAGTGAGGACACTGAACACAAGGTCTTTCCAAGCTGTGCTCCTCATGCTATCTCCTGGGGTCGCCGAGAAACTCAGGCCTCCTGGCACGTCATAGGAGGGGAAGATTGGCCACAGCACTGCAGCTCCTAGAGCCCAGGTAATTGGAGTACAGAGCAGTACAGAGGTCCAGAGCCTCCCTAATTGGTCACCAGAGGCTCCCAGTCCCAGTGCTACATGGTGCAGAGAACCTCCCCAGCAACGTGACCTGAAGGACAAGTACCTTGATACACGGCCTACCTGAAGGAACGGGACAGGAGGCAGAGGCAGGCAGCCACCCTCCCTCTTCCACAAAGAAGCAGAAGCTTCTTTGGACATGGACAGCCAGGCTCTTAGCAGACCTCAGGTGTCCACCTCTGCCCCACCACCATCACTTCCTGCTCCAGAAGCTAGATCTAAACTTCCCAGGAAGTGGGTGTCTTCTTTGTCCACTTCATTATCTGCAGCAAGAGCAAGTCAGGAACAGGGCACCCTGGGAGTCTCAGCATGGCTGTGTGGTCTTAGGGAAGTCCTGACTTTCCAGAGAAGGTAAGGTGAGTGCAGCTGAGGTCAGACATACAGGAGTAGGTCCTGGGTATAGGAGACAGCAGTTGTGTGCACGGTGAGCACTGAGCACTCCCCTCTGGGGCAGGCCTGGCCTCTGCTCCTGGTCACTGGAAGTGGTGCCTGTGAGCCTCTCCCCGACAGGAACCCCTAACACAGGTACTCGATGCACCCTGTCATCTCAGTTCCAGTTCTCCCTGCAAGTGGGCAGCAGCTTTCAGCCCAGGGTGATGCTGCTAGCTCAGGACCACACAGTTCATGTGAGGGGCAAAGCCAAAGGCGAGGATGGAAGCCCAGCATCATGAGATCACTACTCTGGGCATCAGGGTGTCCTCCTCAGCCCATGGGCAGTGCCTGGTCCACTGATGACTGTGGATGTCCCTGCCTCTGCTCTAGGATTGAGACGTCCTTGCTTGTCACTCCCCGCTTGTCACTCCCCCAGTGTTAGTGACCTGGTTTGAGGATCACATTTCGTATATTTTCAGTTCATCACAGAAAGGTGGCTTGCGCAGTTTGTGCCAGAGCTGCCAGTGTGTGTGTGTGTGTGTGTGTGTGTGTGTGTGTGTGCTTATGTGTGTTTGTGTGAAGAGAAACTGCCAAAACAAGGCCCACAGAAACATTTCATTGAGAGTCACTGTGCTCACAGTGGGAAAGTAGGCTGCTCAGTGGATTGCAGAGGACAGAGGGACCCCCATGGGCACCACATCCCCATGTGAGGGTGGCCTCTGGACAGGTGAGGAACCACAGCCTCCGACCCACCCATCCCAGGGACCCTCCTGGTTTCTCCAGCAGCAAGGAGGGCAGACTCTCCTCCCTCCCCAGCCAGGGTCCTCAGCACAGCATCGTGAAACCTGCTGTGACCAGCAGAGTTGCTTGTGGAGCCTATGCAGTGACAAGGGCTCTGGCTGTGGCATGACAAGGACAGAGAAGAGAAAAGGATCAAGAATATCCCAGACTTGATTCCAAATTTAAAGAGAATTTCTACCCAAAGCCCCACACCAGATGGTAATCTGGGGACGGAGATGGCAGGGAGGCCAGGCCAGGGTCTGTGCATCTCCTGAGCATATCAGGGACACTGTCTGCTGCTCTCCAACCAGGGGGCACAGATTTCTCTCCCCACGAGATGTCCAGCATCTGGATGTTGGCAAGAAGTGCCCAGTATCCTCGAGGTGGTGGTTTCCAGCCAGCTGAATGCTGCTGTGGCCAAGTGTCAGAGCCAGAGTTGTCACTGTGCAGCTGAGGGTCCTCAGGGGAGAAAGACAGAGGCCCTGCCTGGGCCCAGGAGCACTGCTCACTGCTCTGCATCCAACCTGCAGAGGCCAGGACCAGGGCCAGGGCTGGTTGGCAGAGGTTCTCCAACTACGAACCGGGGAGTGAGGAACTGAGGCAAGGGCAGTGTGGGATGGGACCATACACACTGGTGCTGCTGAGGAGCCTCCCTGAGGGGTAGCAGGGCAGCTGCTCAGAGGCAGGCATGGGGCCCCTCAGCTCTGCAAACCTATTTCATCCCCAGAGCACAGCTCAGTTCATGCCCTGGGAGGGATCAGTACACACTCATGAATTAAGTACATGCTCAAGTGAAGGAGATCTCGGTAGGCAGGAGAACCAGGCAGGTGGTGGCCCCTTGGTCAGTGGGCAGCATGCACTGATGAGCCCATGTACTCTATAAGGCATGACTGTGTGACTGTGACCAGCTTCCTCTCACTGGCTCCACCCTCCTCTCTGCACAGCTGTTGCAGCTCACGGCCATGACAGCAAACAGACATGGGAACCTCTCAGCTGAGCCCTTCTGGGAGTTTGTGCTGGAGGGATTCAGGGGAGGTGTGGAGACCCAGGCCCTGCTCTTTGCTCTGTTCCTGGCCCTGTACATGGGGAGCATGTTTGGCAACCTCACCATGATCACAGTCATCACCCTGGATGCCCGCCTGCACTCGCCCATGTACTTCTTCCTCAAGAACCTGTCCTTCCTGGACCTCTGCTACTCATCTGTCATCGCCCCCAATGCCCTGGCCAACTTCCTTTCCTCTGCCAAGGTCATCAGCTTTAGAGCCTGTGCAACCCAGCTGTTTTTCTTCTCTCTTCTTGGTACCACAGAGGCTTTACTTCTGGCTGTGATGGCCTATGACCGCTTCATGGCCATCTGCAATCCCCTGCGTTACCCAGTGACCATGTGCTACATGGTCTGTACTTGCCTGGTGCTGGGCTCCTACTGCGGAGGCTGCCTCAACTCCATCGTGCAGACCAGCCTCACCTTCCAGCTCCCCTTCTGTAGCTCCAACCGCATCAACCACTTCTTCTGCGATGTGCTCCCGTTGCTCAGGCTCGCCTGTGCTGACACAGCTCTCAATGAGCTGGTCATGTTCAGCATCTGCGGCTTCATCCTTCTGGGAGCAACAACTGGGATCCTGACTTCCTATGGCTACATCACAGTGACCGTCCTCAAGATGCCCTCTGGATCCAGGAGACACAAGGTCTTCTCCACCTGTGGCTCCCACCTGATGGCCGTGTGCTTGTTTTATGGAACGGGGTTTGTTGTATATGGGCAGCCAGGAGCCATGGAGTCCACAGAGCAGGGCAAGGTGGTCTCCATCTTCTACACCCTGGTCATCCCAATGCTCAACCCCCTCATCTACAGTCTGCGGAACAAGGACGTGAAGGATGCCCTGAGGAGACTGGGACAGAGGCGGGTGACCCTGTGAAGGTGGGTGGCCAGAGAGACACAGTGTTCTGGGTGTGTGGAAAAAAGCATACTGCTTGTCACAGAGGCAGTTTATGTGTCTTTTGAGTTGATTTTGCTCCTGTTTCTTTCATTCTTTCATCCATCCTTCCATCCATCTTTTCAATCCTTGAAAACATATCATAAACCAGGTTTTACTAAGTATGCATAGAGCATGTTCTTTGCCACCAGAAAAACAGCAGTCCAGAGACAAATCCTGCATCCCTTGGTAATAGAGTGGCAGAAGTTTAAGCAGAGATCTCTCAAAGCTGGGTACAGGACCCATGTCAACATCTCCGGGTTCATTAGCATTTGATGATCTAGATGACCCTTTCCTCATCTTACATCAATGCGGCCAGGAACTTCTCCCCTGAGCATCTTACAATGGGACTCTCAGAGGCTGCAGACTGGCCTGGGATCATCGTGCCTGATGCAAGAGCACTCTGAAGACTCTATCCTCCTAGACCCAGCAGCCTGGCTGGGTCCTCTGCCCGCCTCTGTTCACAATGCTGGACTCCTCCTGCAGGGCTCAACAGACCTTTGAGATGCCCTCAGGGCATCCCCCTATGCTCCAGCTAGGAGCCCAGAGTCAGCAATATGCCTTCCTGGCACTCACAGTGCTCCTTGGAAACCTGGCCTGGCTGCAGGAAAGAGAAGAGCAGGGAAGGGAGGGTGAATTGACTTGGTGTCCTGTGCAGATCTGCTGACCCCTTGCACCAGCCGAGGTCCTGGACCTGCAGCTCAGGCTGGAGCTCCTCATCCCACACCCCCTGCTCATGCCCAGCCACACCTGGCCTCCTTGCTGAGTGTCCCTGTGCTGGAGCTGCCTCCTCCATAGCCAAGAGCAGCAACTCGCCCTCTGCATGGCGTTGGTCTGAGTCCTGCTGATGGTGCTGAGCACCCATGCTGTGCCTTTGCTCTCAGCCCCAACCCTTGTGCTGTCCCTGCTCAGACTTTAGGGAGGGCCAACAGCCTCCCCCCTTGCCTCTCTGTTACATGTAATATTTCTGTAAGGACGTGGGTTTGGAAAATGAGATGTTATGTCTTTACATCAGCCATATTAACCTCAAATTGGACACAGGAATCAAAGTATATTTCTTGCACAAACATGGAATTATTTCAATTCTGTTGAATTTAATGGTATAGAAAGGAATCAGCTGGTGTTCTTCCATAAGAGCATTAATCCTGACTTTGAATTATCGGCAAAACTAGCCTTAAATCCAACAATAATTCTTCTATATTCTGGTGTGAAAGGAAAAATACTCAGAAAGAAACTACTGACCTTAATATTAATGACCCTTTTGCATTGCCTCTGGCTTCGTTTCTGGTGAGCGCCACTTTTCGATGTTAGAAGCAGCGTCTTTTGCTTTGTTCACCACATACAATGCTTTGCAGGAACTCAGGAAAACCCACTGGGTCACTGTATACTTGAGCTTATTTTTATCTAGTCATTGACACCTAGGTAGACCCAACATAGTTCTAGACAGGTTAATGAAGCTAAGCAGAGTGTTAACTTCTTAAAATATGATGACTTTTATGCTGTCTATGCTATCATTTAAAACGGGTAACAAAAAATCTACCTTCATAAGCATTTTAGTATACTGTTCACTATCATTAAATATAGCCACAGAGTTGTGTAACCCATGTTCAGAACTCTAATTCTGCAACACTAAAATCCTGTACTTATTAAACAGCACCCAGCTACCCTCTCCCAGCCCCTGGTGGTCCTCTTACACCTTCCATCTTTATGAATTTTACCCCATGTGAGTGAGCTCAGATAGTATTCTGTGTGTGTCTGGATAACTTCAGTTTTTAAAAGTTTGTGATCTGTTGATAGCTAACAAAGCTGCATATTGAACATCTGAGGTTCATTATACTGTTCTCTCCACTTTTTACATATTGAAAAAATTTGCCATTACTGCTTAATTAGGATATGTTTTACTGTAAAATATTCTTCATTGTTTTTGCTGCCAAATAAAATTTGTCTTTCAACCCATCAGTTATGTTCCTCAAAGTAAGAACAATATTTTATATTGTCTTTAAATTTTTTCTCATTCTTCTTTGTGCTCATAGTTTACAATTGTATCAGTTATTTTTTAATAAAAATTGGTTATTTTGAATAATTGGCTAGATGTATGAAGTGTTAAAAAAGCATGGTGAATGTTTTAAAACTTATTACAGCAATTTACTTGCACTGTCATGCCTGCCTCGTTGTCTTGAGTCAATTCAAAATTTTACTTCTCATGGTTACTTTAACTTTGAGATAGTGCCAGAAGTTGGATCTTGCCAAATCTATTCAATGAGGTAGAGAGGGTTTTTGAGCCAGCCTTTCCACTGGACAACACGCAGCTGCCACATTTACTGTATTTTTTATTACATCTCATAAAGATTCTCACAAAATAAGACTTCCAGAACTGCTTCAGAAAGTGGCAAGAATGGTGGGCTAAGTGTGTTCAAAGTGAAGGGAAGTATACTACAAAGCTACAGTGATAAAACAACATGGTAATGTGAAGAAAAAAACAGACTTGTGGATCAATGGAACAGGGTAGAGGATGTAGAAACAACTCCAGGCACACTCAGCTATGTTATCTTTGACAAAGGAACCAAATACTTTTGCTTTGTTCACCATATACAATGCTTTGCAGGTCGCCACCATGTGGCAGGAGCTCAGGGAAACCCCACTGGACCATTGTGTACTTGAGCTTATTATTATCTAGTCATTGACATCCAGGTATACCCAGCATACTTCTAGACAGGTTAATAAGGTTAAGTAGAGAAAAGATAGCTTCTTTAACAAATGGTGCTGGGAAAACTAGCTATTCATATCTCAAAGATTGAACCTAAATGCCTAACTCTCACCATGCACTAAACTGAAATCAAAATGGATCAAAGACCTAAATATTAAACAGAAACAATTGACTGGAAGACAAAATAGGTAAAAGGCTTGAAGACATAGGCATAGGCAAAGGCTTTCTGAGCAGAACGCTAGTTGCAGAAGAAATAATGCCAAAAAACAACAAATGGAATCACGTCAAATTCAAAAGCTTCTGCACAGCAAAAGAAACCACCAACAGAGTGAAAAAACAATCTAGAGAATGGGAAAAAATTTTGCCAGCTACTCCTCAAACAAAGGACTAGTATCTAAAATATATAAAGAGCTCAAAAAAGTTAGACCCTTCAAATTTAAAGACCCAATTAAAAATGGGCATCTGAAATGAATAAACGCATCTCAAATGAAGAAGTACAAATGCCCAAATAAACACATGGAAAAATGCTTACCATTGCTGGCCATTTGAGAAATGCAAATTAAAACACTGAGATGCCTTCTCATTCTACAAAGAATGACTGTCATCAAGAAAGTAACCAATAACAAATGTTGATGAGGCTATGGGGGAAAAAGGGCCCTTCTTCATTGTTGGTAGGAGTGTAAACTAGTACAACTACTATGGAAATCAGTATGGAGATTCCTCGAAAACCTAAAACTAGGAATTCCATTTGACCCAGCTATTCCCTTTCTAGGTATCTTCCTGAAAGAGTTAAAAAAATCATACCACAGTGATGTATGCATAACCATGTTTATAGCAACACAATTCATAATAGCTAAATCTTGGAAGCAATTTACATGTCCATCAACAGATGAATGGATAAAGAAAATGTGATATTCACACACAATGGAGTGCTACTCTGCCGAAGGATAAGTTTGAGTCATTTTTAAGGAAATGGATGCACCTTGAGACCATAACATTAAGTGAGATAAATCAGACACAAGAGCTTAAGTAACACATGGTTTCTCTTATGTGAGAAATTCAATATATAAATAAAATACAAAATAAAACATAGACAATAGGAAAAAAGAGAGAGATGAAAGTTATTGTAATACAACATGGAAAATGTATTTAAAAGTGCACCTTTATTTAGTATAATTGTCTTATGTGTTTTATATGTTGTTGTTAGGTTTTTTTGCCTGTAAATCTGGTTGTTAATCTCTATACATGATAATTACCAGGATTTACAGGATAAACAAACAAATCTGATGCTGGAAAAATAAAAAGGGCAAAAGGAAAGGGGGAAAAAAGAATAGAGATGTGTTACATTCCCCAAAATGAATGTAATCTGCAAAACTGTACTAATACAAATTAAAAATTTTTAATTTACCATATATTTCAAACACATCTTATATTTTCCCTCTGTGCCTATTAAGCTATACTTGTAAACTTCTTTTCTCCCATTTCACAATTAGCTAGAACAGAAGCCAGATCCCTTTAGACCATGACTACAGTGGACTGTGAGTGCCTGGGTGAGCACAGGGAAATAAATCCCAGGAAACCAACTGCCCAAGTGGCCCTTCTTAAGCAGGAGTCCCTGGAACTTTCTCCTCAAAGGAAAGATTAGTTTTGTATCCTTGAGCCTGTGATGGGCAGAGGCTTGCTGATTTCTGACATGCCCTCGAAGCATCTTTCTTCTTATCTCTACACAAAGTTCTTGGTTTCTGTTTAATGGCACTAATCTCTTCAGCAGCCATACCGCCTTTGGCCCCAGCTTTATACATGGTTCTTTTAGGGCCCAATTTTAGATTTTTTAAATTTTTTGCCTGTGGTTTTTGCCCCTAATTGTTACCATAAACCTAGCTATAAGCCAGGGGTGCACATGCCACAGCCAGAAAGTGGGGCTATCTGAAAATTTATTTTAAATTACTTTCACCCAATCAATTATTCCACTGTCCTTAGTATTCCATAAAGCCTCAGAAAATTGAACAATATAGACATAATTTTCTGCAAGAGTGTAACACACACCACCTCTAGTCCAATGCCAATGGAGCCCTTGTTTCCAACTGAAATCTCCTGAGCCCTGCCTGCATGTTTGACTATCAGCATTTTGGTTTTCAGAACTCTGACAAGAATCCAGCCAGAAAGCCCTACTGTCAGAATTCTAGGGGTTCTCTGGTCCTCATCTCCAAACCTTTTCAAATTCCTCCCACAAACC